CCCCTCCCTCTCTGCCTCTCTTCCTCACAGCGTGAGACTCGTCGCAAGCCGCGCGAAGTGAAAAAGAAAACAGTTTTTAGTCAGTTAACTATTTAGATGGCTCATGTCAGCTCAACGTTTGCTGTGGGAGTAGCCAGAGAGCTGATTCGTTTTATCTCCGGTGATGGATGTGAACATGTCCCCCCGAAAGCAGGTTACGAAAGGTAGCCAAGTATTATTTTGCGAAGCCAAATATTTGACTACCCCACAGCCGGATCAACTTTTCCCCCCTCATGCCGCGCCGCGGCCGTCTCTCCCGCTTCCTCCTATCTGCAAGGCCGTCTACTAATAGTTTGGCAATATGTTCTAACGCCCCTCGTCATGCGTCAAGATTCCCCAGGCTGAGCCTTTGCACGGCTTTGCGCTGGCGGATGGGTGCCCCCTCCTCCCCCCGGCCCAGGGCCCCAGGGGCGCCAGCGTGGAACAAACAGCCAAGCCGGCGGCCCGGACACTTGACTTTGAACAACCCCTCCAACTACTCGCTAAGTCCCAGCAGCGGTAGTAGTCGGCTAGGCGGCATCCCGAACGCTCGTAAAGACCAAAGCGGGTCGCTCATCCACTCGCCTGTTGTGTCGTGTCGTGCTGCAGCCCCTCATCAAACTAATAGCATTGCGCCCCATCATGTTTAACAGCTCCAAGGCGCGCTTTACGGTGAAACCCTTCCGAAAATCGCACTGGTAGTCTTTGAATCATCGCGAATACCTCGACATTGATGATAGACTCTAATTTCGTATGTGCGGAGCCGCGAATATTGGTTGGAGTGAGGTCTGATGCGTTCAAATACCGTTTCAATGTGCTGTGCGGTCCCTGCGGTGAGGGCGAATTTTTCTCGCCCACCCTGACAGGGCTAAATAGACGACCCCGCAGCTCCAGAGCCCTCTCTATGGGGGGCTCAGCCAGCATCGCCCCCCCTTCTCCCTCTCTTCCATCGGCCGCCCCTTTGCGTCTCCTTGTTTCTTCAACCCCGACCCACCCCTTTACTCGCACCCGCAGCTCGGGGCTGTTGGGTCCGTGGGAGAGGGGAGTGTGAGCGTCTCTGTCTGTCTGTCTCTCTCTCTCTCCCTCTCCCCCTCTCTCCAACTTATCGCACTCTCATTAACGCCCCCTCTCCCCCTTTGTGTGCCCCGCAGACAGCATCGCCACGCTGTGCAAGGACTTCTTCCGCCAGCAGCAACTGCGCAAGATCGACGGCGCCGAGCTGCGGTCGCAGAATGAGCGGAATCTCAACTGCATCATCACCTTCCAGACGCACTCCATCCTGCAGTCCTTCATGCTGCGTTTCGACGAGCTCACCCTGGACTGCAACGACCACCTGTACATCTACGACGGCGCGCACGCGGTGGGCGTCGCCAAGGTGAGTACTGCCGCCGGCAGAGGACGGCGATGATGTAAGTGATACCCTCGCCCTGTTGTTGTCTTACACACGTACGCTCTGTTGCAGTGGGACCTGTCGTGCAAGGACACGCGGGAGCAGGTGGGGCCCATCCACACCAGGACCAACCACGTGACGCTCAAGTACGTCACGGACAACTGGGGCACCGAGAACTTCGGCTTCAACCTCATCATCACCGCCGTCAAAGAGCCACGTGAGTGCCCGTGCTCTGCGCCCCCCGACTCCATCACTTTGGAGCCCCCCCCCCTCT